TGCTGAGCGCGGTGCTGCTGAGCGCGGCGCTGCGGGCCGCCTGCACGCCCGAACTCAAGGCTTTTGTGGTGGCCCACAGCCACATGGACGTTGGCTGGGTTTACACGGTTCAGGTAGCTCCCCGGGGTGCTGGGTCTGGCTCGCCCCCTTCTGAGAGGCTGCGCTGTGCCTGTCCCCTCCACCAAGGGGGGTGTCTGCCCCCCACGCCGCTCAGTTGGGGCTGGCCGGCGGGGAGAGGGACCAGCGAGGCCTTCCTGTTTCTGTCACCGCTGGGGCCTTGTCTGCCAGCTGCAGGTTGCAAGAGGCCTTCGGTTATGAGATGCAAGGTTGCCCCCTCGCACCAGCCCGCGCCCCAAGGGCTGTTTGTGTCTCGCTGGCCCAGACTGAGATTTGTAGCTGGAAAGAGCTGAGTTTGGGTCCGTGGGTGAGGCTGGTCCCGTGGTCGTGCAGCTCTACCAGGGGTCATCATAAGGACCCCTCGTGCTACGGGGACCACGTGTAAATCAGCGCGGCGGCTGCAGTGCTGCACCGCTCATCAATCTGGTGCCACTTCTGGGTGCAGTCAGGCACTACGCTGAATAATGCATGTGTGCCTGTGGCTTGGGGCTTTGAGCGCAGCTGGTCTTTAATATTGCTAACAAGGATTTGATTTTGCTTGTTTGGGATATTGATTCATTTTGCATCCTAAAGCCAAACCTTGTAGGATTTACCTTCAAAATCCATGATCAGTCCTGTGCTATGGAAGATTTATCTTCTGTGCTGAATTTACCTTGGATTACTTTTGTTCTTGTGTAAATCAGTCACTTTTTTTTCGAGTCAGGAAGTTTATGTATGAAAATTTTGGATGAACATCTTTAATTAGTGTCTTTGTGTTTGTTTGAGACAACAGTCCTGGTGGCACTTTTAACAAGAAAATAATTCCTCGGTATATCTGGAGCATCCTGCAAGCTTTGTTCATTGTCAGCCAGTTGGAAGATTGAGATGTTTAAAGTCTGTTGTCACCTTATTATACAGGAGTTATTGGGGAGAAAAACATTTTAAAACAAAAAGTGTAACGTTAGGGGTGAGGAAGAGTTGGAACCGACCTAGAAAGACATAAACAAAATAGAGACTCCAGGCAAATAAATTAAATGATTTCTTAATGCTGCCTATGGCTCTGGTTCTAAATACTCCCCCAGTTGTTAGTCCAGATCATTTTAGTTATGCAGGAGCTGTTTCAGCCATTTTACTTGCTAGAAGGGCAAGAAATCATTTTTTGTAAGTGTTTCTTCTGATTGCATGACAAGGAATCCATGTTGTTCTCTGCTTTTATTTTTTAATAAGATTATCAAATTATTCCTTTCCCATCTCAAGCCATACCCAGAAATTGTCTGAAAGAACACAGAAGCACTTTGTATTTCAGGTCAGTTGACAGGTGAAGATTCCTGAAGGAGAAATAAAACTTTAATGATCTATTTCTAAGAAGACAAAATTGCTTGAGGCCTCAGTTCCTGTATTATTAAATCATGACCATCAGCAAATCTTTTGGTCAAAAACCACAGAGAATATATACAGATCCTTTCAAATGCCTCTCTAATAAAGTGAAACCTAAATGTAATTCCCAGTGGGATAATAACTAATGTGGTCCTAAATTCTGTGTATTATCTCTTCAGTTGGCTGTGTTGTCATTTATGACTGACAAAATAATTTTTTCACTTTCATTTTTATGCTTATAATAGCATGATGACTTTTGATATCAAAACAGGAATTTACTTTGCATTCTGAAGATTTATAGTGATGCAGAATTTCAGTTTTGGGTGTGCACATAAAACATAGATGATTTAAAGTGGAGAATCATAACTGTCATCATTTTCCCCACAATAATATTATGGATTCTGTTCTGTACACCTTACCCCAACACGGAGGACAGTGGGAATTTCCTAGAATGCTGTGTGCAGTGTAAAATTCCCTATGACTTTTCAGTACTTCAAAAACTTATTAAAGTACTCCTTTTCACATGATTGACATTTTATCTATCTAGGTGTTTTTGGAAGGCAATTCACCAAGGTGTTTAAACAGCATAAACACCTCAATTAATATTGCATGCCTATCACTGTGATATTTAAACATCTTAAACATATGATACTTAAAACCAAAATCACTATTTTGTTTTAATTGCAGTAAAAGTGGATATATGACCCTATATCAAGCATTAGAAGTTAAGAATTAGAAGAGAATCTCATCATTACTTGTGACATCACATTTTATTGCGTGCTTTCTAGTCCCACTGCAACTAATGGGACTTCCGAGCATTTAAAACGATGCAGGTTCAAATTCTGTGTTAGCACTTAGTTTTCGTCATAGTTTCGTAGAAGTAGGCTCGGAGGGGACCTGAGCAGATCATCTAGTCTGACCCCCTGCCCTGGGCAGGAATGAATACAGGGCTCTTATGACCCCTACTAAGTTCAAGCTCAAATGACTCCAGCCAGGTAGTTATCAAGCCTCCTTTTAAAGACCCCTAGGGTAGAAGCCAGCACCACTTCACTTGGAAGCTGGTTCCAGATCCTGGCTACCCTGACTGTGAAGTAGCGCCTCCTGATGTCTAGCCTGAACCTACTCTCAGTCAACTTGTGGCCATTGTTTCTTGTTATTCCGGGAGGTGCTCGGGGGAACAGGGTCTCACCCAATCCCCTCTGGTCCCCCCTGGTAAACTTATAGACGGCCACTAGATCCCCTCTCAGCCCTCACTTGTGAAGGCTGAACAGGTTCAGCTCCTGTAGCCTCCTCGTAGGGCCTACCCTGCTGTCCCCTGATCATGCAAGTGGCCCTCCTCCGGACCCTCTCAATGCTGGCCTCATCCCTCCTGAAGTGCATCCTCCTAGTTTAGCCAGGCCATTGTTAAATCAAGATTATCTGACTACTTTTATTCAAACAGTCCAATGCATTGTCTTCGACCCAGAATTGCTAGATATTTTCCCCAGTCTCTGCATTTTTATTATGCCGCTCCTTTTCTAATTGCGGTACCAGTGTACTAATGCCAAATATGCTTGCCTCCCAAAGTTGTTTTTTCACTCCCTTCATGCAAAGTAATCTTTCCTTTTTTAGCTCATTTCAGTCTTAAAAACATATGCACTTTTTTAAAAGGGAAAACAATTGCTGTTTAACAAATGTTAAATGCATATGCATGTGTATGTTAGAAGAAAAATTGCAGAAGCTTTGTGGAAGTTTTGCTGTCTTAGATTTGTGTCATTTGGAAGTCCCAGATATGTTCAAGGATTGAAATGGGCTGGTTGTAGCTTGCTGTGAATAAAGCCCCAAAATATGTCCTTTATTCACATAGGTTTAAAAAAACAGTAAGTTTTTCAAGTACACAGTGGGTTATTTGATAGAGGGGTAGCTAGCCAAGTCAGACAAAAGGCAGGGTAGCTGTGCACCTTATAAACTAACTAAATATGATTATACATAAAGCACAAGCTTTTGTGAAATTGAGTTCACTTCATCTGATAAAGTGAATACAACAAAAATATTATTTGTTTACTTTAATTCAGATAGCATATAAAATCTTCATTAAGGGATTATAGCCCTATGGGCCCAAGCCTTGTGCAGGCATAACATATTACATCAGGGTTTTGATCTAGGACTAGACCCCTGTACTAGAGTTAGTAGTTGACAGAGGTGGTATACCAGTAACAGCTATTCCCAAAGCGACTCCGATTTTTCTCAAGTTGCTTAGGGAGTTTATGCCAAAGCAGGAAATTGAATCCAGCCCTCCTGAACTTCAGATTAGCACTCCAGCCTCTAAACCACTGTTTCTTTCTAGGTCTTCTAACCGATTTTATTTTAAACAAATTAATTAATCAGGAATGACTTATGTTTTATATTGTCTTGCAGGAAAGCATGCATGCCTATGCTGCCAATGTATATACTTCTGTTGTAGAAGAACTAATGAAAGAAAATCATCGCAAATTTATTGCAGTAGAACAGGAGTTTTTTCGCCTTTGGTGGGACACAGTAGCCACAGATGTACAGAAGCATCAGGTAAAACCACTTGAATTGTGACCTCAACACAAGGCCTCTCTGCCTGCTATAAATTTCATGCAGTCCACTTAGTGGGAAGGGCATGGTAGCTTAATCCTTGCCTTTCTGCTGCTGTTGTTGTCCTTGAGGTACTGTGTACAAACTGGGATACTTTGGATGCTTACACAAGTTACATTTTTCATGTGATCAGGTCCCTAACAGTGCTTTACAGTTGTGATGTAACACATGCATGGCTGCAGAGTGCTTTAAAATAGATGATCTTGTCAAAAATTAACCCTGGTCAAAAGAGGTATTAGATGAAGACGCTGTAAAGCAGAGCACTGTAGGGAACTTGTGTTCTCCCCAGGGTTAATTTTTCATGGTTTGTGGGACTGAGCTGCTGTGGTACTTGTGTAGGGGAGCAGCAGCCCAGTCCCACCCCCAGGGCTTTCAGTGGGGGAGGCAGGGGGAGGGAACAGCACAGAGCTACCAGCTGCTTTGCTTGGCCAGAGCTGGAGGGGGGACATGGGGTGGAACAGAGCCTCCCCACTTTGCAGCCCCAGCCTCCCCCCAGCTACCCTGGCTAGGGTATTCAGGGAAGCTGGGCTGGGCCTGCGAGGCGGGGAGGCTCTATTCCAACCTGCCTCAGCCAGACAATGCACCCAGCAGCTGTGCTTCTGCTGTCTGGGCAGGGAGTGGGGGAAGGGAAGCCCCCCTTTGCCTCACGGGCCCAGCCTGCTTCCCCCCAGTATCCTAGCTGGGGGGGGCGCCCACAAGGCAAGTGGGGCTTCCTTCTCCCATTGCCCACCTAGGCCTCTTGACAGTGGCAGCACAGAACTGCCAGCTGCTTTGCCTGGCTGGAGCTGGTGGGTTCGGTGGGGTTGGGTGGATTGGAGTCCCCTCGTGGACCTGGCACCCGACCCAACAGGTGAAAGTCTGTTTGGTTGGAGATGGGAGTCTGACTCATGGCACCTTGTATAAAGTGCCAGGAATTAGAGTGGGCCCCCTAAAGGTCTGTAGGCACCCTTCATCTGAAGGGTCCTCTAGCCTGTATCAGCTGCTAACAGCTCCATGTAGGTACACACATAACTGGGGATCAAGCTGATACAGAGGAAGAGCAGATACATGCCTTTCCCCTGCTTTTTTCACAGTGGATGAGGAAGCAGCAGAAGATTACAGGATTCCTTTTAGTATTTTGAGGGGGGCGGGGGGTTAAGGCAACATACTGTAGTTCTAGGCTTGGGGAGTGCTAGTAGAGCAGTCCTGCATGGAAGTCTGCACCAATATCTGCAAATTATCTGAAGTTTTTGAACTACTGCAAAGCATCACTACAAAGAAAAAGTTTCATCTTTTTACTAAAACAAAATATACTAATCTTCATTTGCAAACAAGACCACTGTAGTAACAGCCCCGTAAGAATCACCAGTGCTAAGGATGTCTTGTTATTGTGAACTTTGACTCTTTTCTTAATCTGCAAATAGTGGTTCTAATCATAAGAATGATTCTGTGGTGAAGCCATTGTAGGGTTTTATGTTTGTCATTCCTCAGGGATGCAGACAAAACAAGTGCAATAAAATCAAAGCCTGAGCTAGTTTGGTGGCAGCCACATTGCATTACAACACATGAGATCAAAGATTAGATCTAAGTGCCTACAACTGGGTGATCTGCAAAATAGAATAGAATAGAATAGACTGTACTTTGCCATACGCAATTATTTAGAGCTCCCACCTAGTTTGAGTAGGAAGTGCCATATAACACTAAGATATTACCTACCATACACAACCACCTACTCCTCAAAACCCTTATACCCAAAATTGTATTAAAAAGCTGAGTCAGTATTTTATGGGACAGTGTTAAAAATTAAAATGATTTTTTTTTTAAATTAACTCATTGACCTGAAGTCACTATAATAGATGTAATAGACAAAAAATAAAAGAAAAAAGCATTTGTTCCATGCATCTGACAGAAGCTTGTACTTTACTGCTTTCCATGCTTTATTGTTTGATAGAATTCAGAAAATTTCCATTGATCAATTTTGATGTTCATACAAAATTAGTAGAGAAATGAAATCTGGGGTCCTTTGTTTCCCAAGACAGTTGCTGTTTTTCAGAAGCTGTATGCTCTTGTTCTATTCTCCTGTCCATTTCCCTAAAAGGATTGAAAAAGAATCCTGGTTGAAAGGCTGGAATGTGCTATATTGAGTCTTGGAATGGTGCTAAAAGGTACCGTTTGTTCAAAAACCTAGTGACAGTTCTCTGGTTGGTTATTTTAAAACTAGGACAGCTAGAAACAAATGTATTTTTAATCTGTGTTAAGTGTCCTAGACATTGTTACAAATAACATTTGTTTTTAACCCTAGCAGTTGCTAGGTATGGACCTTGAAATCAGATTATACTAATTATTGTCCCTCCCTCTGCCCCCCTTTTCCCATTTGAATTCTAATATTAGTGGCTACTATAACAAAACTGATATTAGAGTTGATATCCTGATTCTACTGATCTAGCTAAACCCACTTACAAAATATCGACACAAGATCAGAGAGTTAACATTACAAAATAAACAAGATAATTGCAGCAGATCCTGCAGTATTGAAGGGAACACCCTGAAAGGATGGATTCTGCAGCAGTTGTGCACAGAGGCAGCACAAGGACAAACTCCTTAGCTCACGTTATGCAATTTCCTTTACTGCACATCCTCTTCTTCATCCCCCACTTGTGCTTCCCAGTGTGACAGCTGCCTCCTTGACCAATGTGCTGCAGTTACTTAAGATGAAGACAGTGATGGTTGTCCTTGTATAGCTGCAGATATGCCACAGTGATTAAGCATACCAGCCTCCTGAGCGGTGTGTGTTTGTTTTCAGTGCAGCTGCACATGAATTTCAGGCCTAACTTGATTTTGGTCAGTGAAGGGTTTGACTCCAAATCTGTCATTGTTGCTTTTTTTCCTGTGGATGTATGTCACCTGCTGAAATTATTTTTTCCATACTTTCAACCTCTCACTAGTTCCATAAAACAAGTGAAAAAGTGCCTGTGCCCAGAAGTCTGGATCAAAGGTATCTCTCCAGGACATCCCCACCAAATGGAAGATGATAGCTCTCAGTGCTTTTCATCTAGGTCAAGCAGCAGTTCTCTGCCTACCCCAGATATGTTATCTGTCTCCCAGCATGCTAATCAGTTGCCACAGTCAGCTGGAACTAATTGGTGAATGCTTAGCCCTAAAGCAGTTTTACTATATTATGAGCAATAGGAATGGTTATACTCAAAATTGACAATCTGACATCATATCTGGACAGACACAGGGGTATTCAGTCAAAGATCCTGGGGAAAGAAGCATAATAGCTGTGGAAGTCGTATACTACTTGCCAGTTTCTAAAAAAAATTACTGACAGAGAGTGAAAATCTGTGCTTACAGAGGCTGTGCACTTACAGGACCTTAAATTAGCTTTGAAGACTTTGGGTATCAGAAAACTGTAGTATAAATGATGACTGCAAGGCTGCAGTGATCATTGGTAGAATAGGGCAGTGGCATTATCATTTTTTCCATATCCAAAACATTTGCTAAAATTTGTAACCAAGCTGCAACTGATTAAAGAGCCAGATGATTCCAATTTCCAGTGGTACTAGACTTTTTGTGCTATTTCTGGGACAGGTGGTAAATCCAGTAAGGACATTTAGTCTAATGCAGTTGGCGCCAACCACAAATTAGCCCTGTGCCCTCCCTGGATGCCACCACTCTGATCTCCTACCTCTGTCCAACCTGTTGCTCTGTTTTTTGCTTTTTGCCAGCTCTGCCTTCTGCTTCCTGCCTTGTCTGCTCTCCTGTCTCCTCCTTTCCAATTTACTGGTGCCACACACAGCCGTTATCTGTGCCACATGTGGCACTCATGCGACAGTTTGGCCATCACCCAAGATCTAAAGCACTGGAGAACAAAAGGGTTTCTAATCAAAAATCCAAAGCTGCTGCACAGAATAGTTCCCTATGTACAGTAGAATTTTCCTAAAAAAAACAGTTCATCTCCCATAATTTTATTATGGAAATGTATAACTATGGAACTATTGAAAGAACTAGTAGTAACTAAATAAGAAATAGAATTGTGGGATAAGATTTAATACTTTAATTTTTTTTAACTTTTAAAAAAGCTGCCATATCTTCATCAGCATAAACTTGGAATGTGTGTAAATATAGTTGAGTCCCAAACAACCTTGCCTCCACCGTCATATCCTCCACAGCCCTATACGCTCAGAAATCATGGTAGATCCTTGTTTTAAAAAGGATTGTATCTAAAAAACTTGTCAGTCTCTACAATTTGTTATAATCTATGTGGTAAAGACTGAAAGAGCCTTTCTGTTATCTTCTGCTTCTTGCCTTTTTATATGATAGGTATATCAGTTACTTCAAGAAGGGCGACTAGAATTCGTAATTGGAGGTCAGGTGATGCATGATGAAGCTGTGACACACATTGATGACCAAATTTTACAGTTAACAGGTATAGGTATTTGGTGTTTAACTCTTAGTTTTCATTGTTATAAGTTTATTTAGGTTCTTTTTTCCCCAAATTACCCTATATTTCCTTAATCTTTAAGAAATAACAACATTTCTGTAAAATTAGTAAGTGTTTGATAATGCAAATTCACCATGGAAGTCTTTACTTTCAAAAGAAAATCTGCAATGCACACAAGGTTACTGTCATTGGCTCATCAAGTATAAGGTCTTTTACAACGTTATAACATGGGTCTCAGGTGCCTGAGAACAGCCTTGGAGTGAAAAGGTATATATGAAATGTATAAAAAATGCATGCAGAAAAGTTTGAAGACTTTCAGGCCAGAAGGGAGGCATTATGGCCTCGGTTCTAACCTTATACATAGTGAGTAATGCCCTGTAGGATTATGGACTGCAGGGAAAGAGTGTGAATGAAGAGTGGCTGTTCCTCAAGATTATGATCCTCCGTGCACAGAAGTTGTCCATACACAAAAAAAGGTGGCACAAGGGCCAGGAGGCCATCTTGGCTCAGTAGGGAAGTCGCAGATCTTCTGAAGAAGAAAAGGAAGGCTTACCAATAATGGAAGCTAGGAATAGGCCCCAAGGAGAATTGCATAAGATTGGCCCACACCTGCAGGGGACAGATTAGAAAAGCAAAGGCGGTGACCGAATTCAAGTTAGCAACCAAAATCAAGGACAATAAGAAGCCCTTCTGTAGGTATGTAGGTAACTGGAGGAAAACCAGTGGAAACGGGAACCACTGCTCAATGCATCTGGACATCTGATCACTGACACCAAGGAGAAAACTGAACTCCTGAACAAGTACTTTGCATCTGTCTTCCACCAGTCTAAGAGTGATAGCCTGCTGAATGCAAATATGACACAGAATAGTCACAATAGGGATGATCATCTATCAACAGTCAGTGTAGATGAAATATAGTAAAACTGGTGAAAGAACAGCTAGAGAGACTGGATATCTATAAGTCAGCAGGACTAAATGAAATCCATCCAAGAGTGCTGAATGAATTAGCTAGAGTTATTGCAGGACTGCTGCCAGACCTCTTTGAGAATTCATGGCACTCAGGAGAGGTCCCAGAAGACTACAAGAGGGCCAGTGTTGTGCCCATCTTCAAGAACAGGAGGAGAAAGGACCCAGGGAAACTACAAGCCAGTCAACCTGACCTCAATCGTAGAAGAAAATTCTTGAAAAATTTCTCAAGGAGTCCATATGCAGTAAGCTAGTAGAAAGCAAAATTCTGAATGACAGCCAGCATGGTTTTCTCGTGGGTAGGTCATGTCTGACTAACCTCATCTCCTTCTATGACCAGATTACTCACCACCTGGATAAGGGAAATGAGGTTGATGTCATTTACTCAGACTTTAGGAAGGCCTTTGACTTGGTGTCCCATGAGGCTCTCAAAGTCAAACTAGAGGACTATGGGCCTGACAATTCAATGGTCAGATGAGTGGGAACTGGCTCCAGGGTCAGACCCAGAGAGTACTGATAGAGATTTGTGTTGACCTGGCGGAAGGTAGCCAGTGGGGTCCCCCAGGGTTGGATACTTGGACCAGTACTTTTCAACATCTACATCAAGGATCTGGATGTGGGGGTGAGAAGCACACTGGCAAAGTTCACCGATGACACTAAGCTTTGGGGAAGTGCAGCCACGCATCAGGGTAGGCTGACGATCCAGGTGGACCTAGACAGATTAGTTATAAATGGGTGGACCAGAACCAGATGCTGTTTAACACTGAGAAGTATAAAGTGTTCCATCTGGGGAGGAAAAATCTGCAACAAACTTACAGGCTCAGTGGTGCTACTCTTGCTAGCACCGTGTCCGAAAGGGACCTGGGGTCCTAATTAGCCATAAAATGAATAAGAGCCACCACTGCGATGCTACAGTTAGCAGAGCAAACAGTATGCTGGCATGCATCAACCGATGCCGCTCAAACAAAACTAAGCAAGTTATACTCCCACTCTACTCAGCATTGGTGAGGCCACAGCTGGAGTATTGCATTCAGTTCTGGGCGCTGCACTTCAAGAAGGATGTGGAGACGCTTGAGAGAGTCCAGAGAAGAGCCACTTGTATGATTAGAGGCCTGAAGAGCAAGCTGTACGAGGAAAGGCTGACAGATATGGGACTGTCCAGCCTAGAAAAGAGACTTTGAGGGGATTTGGTGGCAGCTTACAAATATATCAGGAGAGCATCAGGGGCTAGGGGAACAACTATTCACCAGAGCACCTCAGGGGAAAACCAGGCACAGTGGTCATAAACTCGTAGGAGAAAGTTTCAGACTAGATATAAGGAAAAACTTCTTCACGGTTCATGTGACCAGATTTTGGAATAGACTCCCAGCAGGGGTGGTACATGCACCTACTCTGGAGATCTTCAAAAGGAGGCTGGACATACACCTTGTTGGAATTATTTGACCCCAGCAGTCTTTCCTGCCCAGAACGGGGGGGGCTGGACCTGATGATGTCACGAGGTTCCTTCCAGCCCTAAACGTCTGTGAATAACAGGCCAGGACTATCCAACTCCTTAAAGGCCATGGGCTGCATGCCGTAAGGGCCACTCCATGTGGGCCACGGGAGCCCCAGGCTACGCAGTGCATGGGGTCCCCTGCCATATATCTACCCTGTCACCATGCTGTCTCCCTCACATGCCCCGCTGCTGCATGGACTTCTCTGCTGTATGCCCTCCTGCCCCTATGTGGTCTCCCTGCACTTCTCCTGCATGCTGTTGCCCACTCCCTTCGTTGTGTGGGCTTCCCCACAACCTCTCCTACTGCCATATGGGCTCCCCATGCTCTCCCCACCCCATGGACTTCCCTGCATGCCCCGTCACTTCTGCACTGTGGGCTCTTCTGTGCTCCTGGGCCATGTGGGCTTCCCTGCACCCCCCTCCCTCCACTACCACTGTGTGATCTCCCCTGCACTAACCTGGCATTTGTCACCTCAGTCTCCCACTGTCAAGGCTAGCCATGTAATGATATCTGGTCTATTTCTG